GCAGCTCGGACAAGCACGTCAACGTCCAGACGATGAGAACCTTCCGGAGCGACGAACGGGACGGGTCGACACGGCGGCGGAGGGGTGGAGATCGGACAGGGGACGAGGAGAAGCACGCACGAGAGGCGCAGGGGGAGGAGAGGAGAGGGGGAGGAGGACGAGGAGCAGGCTCTCTTCGCCTCCCCCCTGCGCGCAGCCTCTGCCGGCCCCGGCGAGGGCACGGTCGGGCCTTTCCCCCCTCCCGAGCGGGCTCCCCGCGTGGCCTCCGGGCGCGCCGCCGTGCCCGGGGCACGCCCCCACCGAGGCCGCTCCCCCTCTCGCCCCCCTATGCAGCCTTCCGAGGCGCCCGCGCGGGCTCGCCTTCTCCTGCCTGCTTCCCGGCGTCTTGCCCGCCGTGCCTCCAGGGGCCCAAGGACGCACACACAAATACACACAGAGATGACAGGATGCCCCATAATTTCCCCATCTTTTCTGGGCTTTTTGTCTTCCCCCCCACACACTTCCCATATTTTCCCATATTTTGCTCGGGAATCGACGCGATTAATTGTGTCTGTGTGTTTTTGTTTGTCCCTCCTGAGTGACAGCGGGGATGCTGCGCAACTCCCTAAGACGAAGCCAGGACGAGGATAACATCGGGCGGGGGCAGATCGAGATTCTCTGAGAGATCTGGCGGCTCTGGAGGCTGTTTCGAGCGCCGCAGCCTCCTCAGAGCCTTCCAGAGAGGTGAGAGCGCTCTGGAACGCTCTGGAACGGATTGATCCTCGTCCTATGAAAGGGGCCCTAGGACACACAAATAAATACACACATAGCCGGATTCCCCATATTTTTTATGTTTTTGGGATTTTCGTCTTCCCCCCCACTGCCAATATTTTTGTAGATTTTCCTGGGGATCGACGATTAATTGTGTCTGTGTGTCTTTTCCCCCTCCTGATCCTAGCCCCGCGAGGGAGGGGCACCGCGGCGAGCTGCCACGAGACGGGAGGAGGGGCTCGCCCGCCCGTGGGGGGGGGGGGGAGCTGGCACTGACGGGGCCGAGCCCTAGGTCGGGCATGTCCCCCTACAGGCCGGCTTCGGGCGAAAAAATCAAAATAGTCTGAAAAAAATGGAAATAGTCAAAAATGTTCAGAACATCGTCCCCATATTATATTATCAAAAGATAGTCAAACATGGTCCGAAAATAATCAACTGTCACACAACAAAAAAAACACCAAAAATGTGGTCAAAAATAGTCCGGCAAATATTCAAAAATATGCAAAAATAGTCAAACAATATACTATGTTTGAATATCCCTCCTGTAGAGGGACAGGCCCGATTTCAGCCGAGCCGATGGACGCCTGCCTGCGGAGCCGCTGTACAGCAGTAGGGGCCCGATCACAAGAAGCCTTCCACAAGAAACCCAACCCTGAGACCTCAGGACGTCAATCCCACCAGCCCTCTAGGCGACAGGTGGTCTAACGAGGGTATCTTTCCACGGCTCGAGATGGCTCCAAGACGGCTCGAGATGGCCACGGAGATGCTCCAAGACAGCCCCAAGACGGTTCGAGATGGCCACGGAGCCTCCCAAGACTCCATCGCTGTTTGACTATGCATGTCCCTTCCTCTCCCCCCAGCCAACTCTCATAAGCATCGTTTTTGGATGGGCTGGTGGGGATACTTTTTTTTAACAGCCGCAGGCGGAAGCGCCAGCGGCGGGAGGTCGCGGGCGGGCTACGGCCGCGACTAGATTGCCTAGCGCGCGCGGGGCCGCGGATCAGGCGGCGGGGGGCGGCAGCGCCCAGGGCGGCAGAGCCGACGTGCACTCCAGGGAGTCTGAGACAGCCCCTGGACGGGCATGCAACGGTGCATCCAACGAGCCTGAGGACAGGCACCGAGGAGACCAAACGCAGCCAAAATGGCGCGTGAGGCGTTCCCAGAAGTCCAGATGCGAACAGAAAGGAACGTTCCCGAGGACATCGATCCAGGGAGTCTGACAGGTAACACAGACTGACTGGGGACAGAAGTCCATCGGAAAATCCTGACGGCGACACCAAGTCGCGACGCCAGAACGGCATCCAGGGTGTGGAGCATGCTGACAGGAGAACCTTCCACAACTGAGATGCGTCAGCCCAGATCCAACGAGTGGAAGGGCGCCGTAGTGCAAAATCAGGTGGGGATACGCGAAGCGTCAAGAACTGATCTTTGGGAGTGGAAACGTCACGCTTTCCATAGCAGAACCATCGAAACCCAAGGAACCAAGGGCACCCTAGAGGCAAGCAGGGAGTTCCTTGGCATGGGCCCCCACTGCACTATGGGACGCGCTCGATGCGCGGCGAGGCTCCCTCGGGACCAGCGCCCCCCTCCAGGAAGCCAACTCAAAACGGGGCCTGCCTTCAAATCGGGCGTGTCCTCCTACAGGCGGATCTCGATGGAAAAATGGAAAATAATCCAAGAATGCGCAAAACATGTGACAACAAAGACTCGACAAATCGTCCCACCATGATTGGTGACCATTGTTGAGTGCTCCCCGACGTAAGCCTGGCTGGAAGAAGAAACACCCAAAATACACGAGCATGAGCTGCGGGGGTCCGCGCGCACCTGCCGGGCGCACGGAGAGCGCGCCGCCGCGGGGGGTCTCAGCGCCGACCCAAGAGATCTGCGCGGACCTCCGAATGGTCAGGCCTGTGCAGGCGCGTCTTTCCCGACGCACGGGGGGCATTCCTGAGGTCGGCGGCGCTGCAAAGATGGGGCCACGAGACATCGGGCCCCCCAGCGCGCGGAGGCCATCGACAATTCAAACTCAGCCTGAGACGGACGGAGGCGGAGGAGGAAGACGGGGAGGAGGAGGAGGAGGAGGAGGAGGAGGAGGCGGAGGAGGAGGCGGAGGAGGAGGCGGAGGAGGAGGCGGAGGAGGAGGAGCAGGAGCAGCTGTAGGAGCAGAAGCAGGAGGAGGAGGAGGAGGAGGAGGCCATCGCGTCGGGGCGCGGTCCCACCAGGAACGGAGCGGTGGAACCGTGGCGCCGATGATTCGGGCTACAGCGCAGCGCGAGAGCGTGGTGCGAGAAGGTCAGCGCAGCCCTTTCCTATCCGTAAGCGTCGTCCATCAGGCTTAGATGTTAAAAAAACCGCGGGCGTTTTGTTTCCCCCCCGCTTTCACGGTCGACGCTGTTTCTCTGTTTGGGGTGCCTTGCCGCCGTCTCGCCAGTGTCGGTTCGCTTCGCGATCCGTGTTCTACCTGTTTCAATCTGCCGTGTTGTATGTATCCCGTTTCTCTCAATTGTTTTCTGCTTTGGGTTGCCGTTTGTTGTCTGTTTTTGGTTGCCGCTTTTCGCTCGCTTTGGGCCCAGCCGGTATCGTTTTTCTTCTGTCCTGTTGCCGTTGGTGTAAGTGTGGCGTTTTGGTCGACCGCAGCACGAAAAAGTGACAACGGGAGGGGGAAGAAGAAGAAGAATAAGAAGAAGACGGAGAAGAAACAACAACAAAAACATAACAAAAAACGCCCCCAACGCTTTTAGGGTTGGGTCGGGCTTCTCCCCCTACAGGGGGATGTTGGGCGAACAAAAACACGGAAAATTAAAAGTATTCAGAAAAGACTCCAACAATACCCCGAAAGAGTCAACAAAATCGTACCCAGACTTTTTCCACTATTTTTGAACATTCCCCCTGTAGAGGGACGGACCGACTTGATCTCAGGAACAACGAAGCCCTCGGGGTCCCGGCCTCCTCGGCGTCCTCCCTGCCCTCCCTGCCTTTCCCCCCGCCCCGCCCCGCAGCCTCGGCCGCTCACCCCCTCCCCGTCCTCCGCCCGCCCCGTACCCCAGGACAGGGCTGAACCTACACGGTGTTTCTCATTCTCGTTTTGGTTTCAATCCAACTTTAACGCTCGTTTTCCCTCGTTTTGTCTTTTTTGTTTTCCCTCGTTCTTGTTTTCAATCCAACTTTTCATTATCGTTTTGGTTTCGTTTTCCCTCGTTTTGTCTTCAATCCAACTCCAACACAAAACGACATCGAAACGAGAACGGCCCACGAAACCGCCAAAACACCGTCTAGGTCCACCCCTGTCCCAGGAGCTGTCAGCATATCGAATCGACACATCGGGCACCGGAAGCAGAAGCAGAAAGCTCTACCACAGAATGGCCCGCGAGGGGCAGAGCAGAAAATCACATGCGACACGCGCGCTCCCCGGTGTGCAAACTCGGGAGAGAGGCTCTCCCACTCGGCGTTGTCCGCCGCCAGCAGCCGCCAGTCCCCCAGCTCCATTTCAAAACAAAATCGTCTGAACACATCTTCGAATTTCATCCATCTACGCCAGAAGGGTCGCAGTGGACGCCCAGAACCGAGGTCGGCCACCGCGGCTGAATCGAGGTCGGAGTGGACGCCCCGAACCGGGCATCGGAGCATGCATCAGATTGGGCTGCATCGGTTCGGGACCCAAACCGAATCGAATCGGCCGCGCCAGGATACACAACTGAGCCGTGCAAACGTCGAGCCCTATCGCATCGCTCGAAACCGAGATTGGGTCAGATTGATCGGGGCGAGACCGGCACCGAATGGCACCGATCGAATCAAAATGGGCCCTGCTGACGAAGGTGAGGAAAATGAGGCGATGGTCGACGCAAGTGGCAGTGACTCCCGCATCGGGCCAAAACAACGTCGTCAACGCATCACCGTGCAGAATGGGAATGAAGAGCTGCAGCAGGCACGAACAGGGCGGCAGCAGCGCCAGCAGCAGCAGCAGCAAAGACAGCCGATGGCCAAAGCGGCATCGGCGACGGCACAGCGCCAACACTGGCAACAACACGAGCAGGAAGAAGCAACAAGAATACCTGGAGATGAGCAACAGAAGCAGGAACAGAAGCGGCAGCGGCGGCAGAAGCAGAAGGCCGAGGCGGGGAATGAGGAGGAAAAGACGGATGATGACCATCATTAAGAAGCCAGGCTGCGACAAGGGTATCTCGCAAACCAACTTCTTCTCGCCTGAGGTCAGCAAGTCGAAGTTGCCATCTCGGCGGTGGCCTCAAGCGGGCGACCAACTACCACATCCACAACGATATCCGAGCATTCGAACACGCGTGTTTGAACACACTCACACACACACACACAAACACACACACACACACAGAAACACACACACACACACACACACGCACACACAAGCACACACACACACACATACGCACACACACACACACACGCACGCACGCACACACACACACACACACACACACACACACACACACACACACACGTCCGCGCACACACACACACACACACACAGACACACAGACACACAAACATACAGACACACAGACACACAGACACACAAACACACCGACACACAGAAACACAGACACCCTCACACATACACACAGCCGCAGACACACACACACACACACACACACACAGACGCAGACGCAGACACAGACACACACACACACACACACTTGTTTGGCGGTCGCGGCCTCGGGCGCAGCGACGAGGCGGAGCAAATCAAACGAGCGGCAAAACACCAACGCGCGCGGCCGGGCCCTCAGGCGCGAGACCGCTTTGGGTAGCCCGCACATAGCCACCTGGGCAAGGGTGGCGAGTGAGAAAATTGAGGCAGCGTCCGAAGACGGACACGGCGGTACTCGACGAACAAAACCGACCAAGTAGGGATAGACGCCCAGGCTGACGACCCAACGAGCTGGGCTGCCAGGAGCGTGCCCGCGGTAGGAAAGCCATCGGGGGGGGGGGCGATTTCACAGGTGGCACAGCCGCCACGGCATTTTCTTTGAACCCAAAAATATTCTCAGAACAAACAACAAAAAGAAAGTTCTTAAAACATAAACCTGATGTGTGAAACCACGCCAGTCTCAGCCCAAAATGGTCTAAGAACATGTCGTACAGACCACAAAAAGTTCTGGCGCAGGGACGCGCCGGGCTGGCGCCTGGGGCGGAGAGGGGGGCGGCGCGGCCGTGGGAGTTCCCCAGAAAGGCCCCGCTCCTGCAAGTTGGCCCCACATACACACATACATGCATACATACATACATGCATGCATGCATGCATGCATGCATACATACCTACCTACCTACCTACCTACCTACCTACATACCTACATACATACATACATACATACATACATACATGTATATATCCATATAAGTATATACACATACATACATACATGCATACATACATACATGCATGCATGCATACATGCATGCATGCATGCATGCATGCATGCATGCATGCATACATACATACATACATACATACATACATACATACATACATAACTGCATACATACAGACATGCCTGCACATACATACATACACATACATACATACATATGAGACACGGCTAGACATATGCATTACAACGTAAGTATGCTGCATGGGTGTCTATATATATATACATATATATATATATATGTGTATACGCCAGCCCGCTTGTGGGGCCACCGGGCTGTGCGCCGAAGTGTGCTGCTCCATGCACCAGTTGCAAATTCAAGTCTCCGATGCTACAGGTTTGCTTTCTGCTTCCTACTGTAATTTAAATCCGCGCGAGGGGGGGGAGAACCAAAACCGCCCAGCTACCACCCTCGGATTGCGCTGCCTGAATTCCTGCGGGGGGGCGTGGGGCATTGAAAAATACATGACACTCGCGCCCCCGATGCCAAACAAATCATTCGTAAATTATGCATTTACGCAACGCTCGCGTCCCCGACGCCACAAACCCACGTAAATTACTCAATTCTTGCGTCCCCGAGGCAACAAACTCTCGTAAATGACGAAATACTCGTATTCCCGAAGCCATAAGCCTTTCTGCAGAGCACACTACCTTCGCATTGCCGAGGCCGGGAGTGCTCCAAGGCGCCCGAAGATGGTTCCAAGACGGCCCAAGAGGGCTCAAAGAGGCCCCAGCAGCGCTCCAAGAGGCCTCCCGAGAGAGCCCCGAGGAGGCCCCAATCGTAGATTGTACGCGGTTCTTTTAATGATTTTGGCCTTCTCGCAGGTTCGGCTTTCCGACGTTCCAAAACAGCTCAAGAATCTCCCAAGACAGCCTCAAACAGGGCCCCAAGACGGCCCCTATGAGGGGCCAAGCAGGGGACCACGAACCGAACATTCGATATTTGAGAGGCCCCGAGAGGCCCCAAGAGGCGCCCAAGACACGCCCACGAGGCCTCCAAGAGGCCTCCAACGGGCCCAAAAGATACCCCACGAGGCCCCAAGAGGCCCCCAAGAGGCGCCCAAACCGCCTCCAAGAGGCCCCCGAGGGGCTCCCCACGACACCCCAACACAGATACAAGAGGCCTCAGACCCACAACCCAGGCACGCTGGCGGGATGGGCCGAAGACCACTGGGATCCGCCGCCCCCTGTTGGCTTGCCACAAGGGTGCCCGGCATGCCGAATCGTATATTATTGGTGTTGGTTCTATTTCCAAGAGATCTCTCCACTGGTGTGGCAGCAGCGAGATGGGCGGATGTTTTTTTGTCTTGAGCCAAGCCGGCAAATAACAGTAACACTTTCATGTCACGAGCGAAACTCTGTCCAAACATAGCGGACCCTCAATGCTGTAGAGACACACTCTCAGAGAGAAAGATCAAACAGCTAAAGCTACACCACGAAAACAAGGGACCCATCACACGGGTCAAACTTTCTCTTAGGTTCAGTTTCCCAATTCAGGAAACAGTACCTGCACAAACAAAACAACACCCTTGCCAGAAAAGGGGCGGCTTGGAAGGAGAGGTGAGGAAGGAGGAGGAACCGCCCTGGCCGCCGGCTCCTGGGACCAGCTGGCCCGATGAGAGTTCGGTCCACGACGCGAGACGGGAATCTTGGTCGAGCGTCCTCCTCGAAACTGCATGCAAACGGTATTTGGCTACGGGATGCTCCTTCCGTCGAACCATCTCGGTATCTTCATCAATCAGCACCAGCCGACCGTTGGCCAGAAGGCTGGCCAAAGCAGCGTTGCTCTTGCGCCCGTCATCCTTCGTGAGCGCATCCACGGGCATTCGCCCGCGAGGCGCCCAGCGCACGTGGCATCGGGCCCCTCGAGAGCCTGACAGACGCCTCTTAAATCTAGTGCTGTGCGCCTGCCCCGGGCGCTCGCATTTCCTTCCTTAAGCATCGTGTCGTAGATGCTCTTGGCATCTACGACATGGACTTGGTCTTCACGGCTAACCAAAAGGCAATGATTATTTCTAAGAACGGTCGTGAAAGGTCTGGACCCTCGGGACATATCGAACACCTCGACATCGCGAAAGACTACGCCCCTATAAAAAACCTGCCAGAACACTACTTCCGCTACAGCCGCTGAAAGCGCTTGGGTCTCTCCTGCCAAAGTGGAGCTCACTTTGCGCCGGAATTTCGAACCCCTCCATCCCAAGACGGAGGCCTTGACGGCGCAGTTATGCAGCACGCTCCTGTCCGTCGCCAGGGCCATCCACGCCCCCTGGGCTGGGTCTTCTTGGAGACCCCTTTCATCTTCGAGCCCCTCGCTGGCACCAACGCCTCCGGCGCCCGAAAAAGAAACGAAGGCCATTCGATCGGAACCGATCCTCCAGATGCTTAGGCCTCTCGAGGCCGTAGCTCGGAGATACCTCACCATGCGATTGACGATGGTGACATCATTGGTGGTGGCGCACTTTAATCTACTAGATAGAATGCTGGCAGCCCCGGCGGCTTCGGGCCTGGTCTCGCGGCTCACCCAATTTAGCATGTAGATTAGAGAGCGGAGGGACTTAAACTCGGCATGGGTGAGCGGTGCTTTCTTCAGCCCGAGCTTGCCCTGCTCCACGCTGACAGGACGCACTTCCTCTAGGATATACCTCTCGGTCTAGGGTGGCCCTCTGGGCCCCGAAGGTGACGCGGCGGCCCGCGTACTCGACGGCCCCTTGGTGGCAGTCGCGATATTTTCCGAACTTGAACCTGGACTCTAGCACCTGCCGAATCCAATCTCGGGATTGGCGTGAGTAACTTTATAAGGAAGTCATCTACCTCGAGAAGAATCATATTTAGGATAGTCCCGTCGGCAGCATATCCAATCCACCAACACGGCTCCAAAAGACTCCGGGACAACCCCTTTCTCTTGCAGAAAACCGACGACTGTTTTTCTCCAGGCCAACGGGGCGTCGTCCAACCCATACACATTCACGAGGAGGCAGATTAAGGAGCCTCTCTCCACTTTGATGCCCTCGCAGGGCTCCACGAAAATCTCCCCTCGAGTTCTCTGAATTGAGTCAGGGCGCGAGCGAAACAATGTTTTCCGTTTTCGCTCTGGGTTCGCTTTTCCTCGCTACGCCGTCGACCCCGCCCCTGTTGCAGAGACGGGCCCGAAATGAGAACGGCCCACGAAATCGCCCAGACGCCGCTTGGCTCGCGCCCGGGTAGGCGTGCGAGCAAGAAAATGACGACCTACCAGGCCACCCCAACCCAACCCGAAGACCCGAATTTCGGGTTGGGGGGGGTATGGGCTCCATATTTTTGATATTCCCGGACCCACCCCCATGGGGGAGGAAGGCAAATTGAGGCCTTCGGGTTGGGTTGGGGTGGTTTGGTGGTGAGAAAACACACCGTGGGCAGCGGACACAAGCGAGCCGGCGTCGGCCGACACTCGTATGAAAGGTTTTTGCAACAGCTTGGAGGATGGAGGGCGGTCAGTGTTTTGAAATCGGGCGCTCGCCCTGGCGCCGCGCAAATTCGCCGTAGAAGCTTGCAACCGTGGTAGGGATGGCGGGCGGCTTCCTTTCAAACTGGGATTATGTCGCTCCCATCATACTTAAGGAGCAAATCCCATACATAATTTCGAGCACCCAAGAAGGTATCGAAAAAGAGTCGAACGAGTATCGCCTCGCAGGGCCCGACACGTGAATACCCTAAGTTTTGGTACTTTCTTAGTGCTCGAAATTCTTTGTGGTGACCAAGGCTCAAGTAGGTTGGAGCATCATACAACTGGGATTGTGTTTGAATTATCTTAGCACTGAGAGACCTGAAGTTGGACAAATGCGGCAGCTGCGCGGCCGAAGGGCGGATCTTCTTCGGCATCGGAACTTTCCTCGAGCTTGCTTCACATGCTATGGTCAGGCGCTGTAGCACATGGTACAGAAGGGCTGGACCTAAACGCTGTTTTGCGGGACTTCGGCTGTGTCTTATGTTTCGCAGGGAGGTACAGGAAACAGGTAGAACAAAACGATCAACAAAACGAAAAACAACGTTTAGGTCCAGCCCTGTGGTACAGCTGTGCTGGCGGAGGGCGGCTCCTTTCCAAAATGGGGCTCTCGCGTGAGATCCACATCGACGCCCATGGCCAGAACTGCAGCTGCGCGCACATGTCACAAACATGTGAACGGTGTTTCTCACAACGATGATCTCGTTTGTCACTTGGTTGAACCGTCTGGACATAATTGCAAACGTTCCCCTTTACTCGCTGAAAAATGGGAAGCATGCAAGACAATTCGTTTGCTTACAACAGGGCCCTCGCTTGATTGGCAGGCCCATGGGTGCTGGTATTTCAAGGGAGCGTGTTTGGAGAATGGAAAGAAAGTTGTGCAAGGACGTATAATGAAGGAACTTGGGACGGATGATGTTCTGCATCACCGTGGGTATAGATTGGGTGATTTGCTCTAGTATTCCTCCTCCTCCCCCTCCTCATGCTAGGAAGTCAGTGGCGATTAAGCTAGTCGCTCTCATGCAGCGCCCAAGTCCAGTGGCGAACGCGGCATTACCACCGAGGGCGCACGTGTCACGAGCAGACGCTGCAGCGAATGCGGATTGCACAGGAAGGCGCCGAGAATGCAGATGGGAGAGAAAGGCCTGGCCTGGAATGCCTCGAAGGTTACCCTTGGAGACCAGCAGCGTCGCGTTGGGATACATTTTCGCCTCCCCTCCCCACTCCTCCTCCCAATCCGCACCATCATCACCCCCTCAATCATCACCACAATCATAGTCATAATCATCCAGATCACCATCATCATCAACAACAACAGCAACAAACGAAACAGCACAGGAGAAAACAACGCGCGCTGGAGCCCCGTGCCTGCCACCCTCGTCTCCGCGCTCTTACAATCAGCGAAAACGCTCGCGGGAGCCCTGGTCCACGGTTCCCCGCCCCAGGCAACAAGCAACAAGCAACAACGGCTACACAAACGCCCTCTGTGGCAACCTGCTGACTCCCTCCAGTTCCCCTGCAAGCCTCCATGGACGTCTGCTCTCGCTGATGCATGTGTGCACCGGCGAAGCGACCATGGGCCCAACGGACCCTATAGGATCCCCTACGGAAACCGAGAAGTTCCCTACGGACCCTATTCAAGATCCCTACGGATCCATAGACGATCCTAAAAGGGACCCTAAGATCCATACAGGGGCCCTGCTTCTACAACAACAACAACAACAACAACAACAACAAACATTTTACCCTCATGCGCGATACTTCCACACGCAGCATGCGACCATCATGATAACCATCCCCTATCATGGGAGATTATTGTTCCCATTCCCAGATCTCCCGCCCAATGAGGTATTGCAAATACTTCCTCCGAGGAATTTCAACATATCCCGTCTCGAAAACACATGCCCGCGCCCTGCTGCGCCGATGCGAGACCGCCAGTGGAGCCCCAGCCAAGGGTAAAGCACAAGAATGTATCGAGCGACAGGATTGACTTGGTGGGGATGGGGACTGTCGGCGGCGAGACAAGGACCTCTCATGGCCATGAGGAAGTGGCGGTCTAAACTTGTTTGGGGCTTTTCCTCGTGGAGGGAAACACCGAACCAACCCTGTTGAACTCCCGCCATGTTGGTCTAATCATGTTTCCCTACCCCATAGCATGGAACTTCCAAACGTGGAGGTCCGAAGGCAGCCACTGTGCATCACTGTCCAAGTCAGAGTTGGAGAAGCACATCACAATAGCACGTGTTTGGAAACAACACAAACCAAACATACATACATAAATGCACAAATGCATACATGCATACTTACCAAACTTACATACATACATGCCTGCATGCATACGTACATACAAACGTACAGACATGAATAGATGCATGTATACATGCATACATGCATAAATGCGTACGTACATACGTACATACATATATACACACATGCATGCATACAAGTATGTGTACACATACACATACATACAGACATGTATACATACATGCGTAAATATATACCAGCATACAACATACCAACATACCTACATACCCACGTACATACATGCATGAATGCACGCATGCATGCATACACGCATACGTGCATACATACATACGTATATATATATATATATATATATATATATATACATGCATGCGTGCATGCATTGACATGTTACGTGCATATATGCATACGTGAATGTGAACAAGCATACATGCATACATACATGCATGCATACGCCTATACATACATATATATATACAAACATGCATACCGACATGCATACAGAAATACGTATACCTATAATTGCATGCTTGCACGTATGCACATATATATACACACATACACACACGCATGCATACATACGTACATACATGCATACATGCACACACATAAACATACCATACCTACATGCACATGTACATAAACAAACGTGCACAGACACATACATGAATGCATGCACGCACCCATGCATGCGCGCATGCATACTAGCATACATGTATAGATACATGCATGTATGCATGCGTGCATACATACATTACTGCATGCACGCATGCATACATGCAAGTATGAATAATGAATACATACATACATACCTGCAGATATAGATTCACGCATGCACATACACACATATGTATAAACATACCGTCAATCGCAGGTACAAATGCTGATAAGCAAACACGCAAACATACCTCTGTACATTGATACACCCATGCAGAAAGATGTATCCACACGCGCGCATACATGCATACATACAAACACAAATAAACAAACACATGGACACGCATACATACATGCATGCATGAGTGTTTGAATGTGTACATAAACATGTCCATAGATAATTACATGCATGATTGCATGCATACGCAGAAACATACATATATAAATTCACGCGCATACATACATACACACATACGTGCAGACATACTCCCCTATACATACATGCAAACATACATACGTCCATGCATGCATTCAGACATGATACAGACGCACACGCGCATACAGCCATACATACACACTCACATGCATACATGCACATACATGAAGACGTACATACATCCATCTGCATATATATATATACAAACGCAACAATCACACAATACATACAATGACAAAAACATACAAGCGCATGGATGCAACGCATGCATAAGTATGCATGTATGCATATGCATACGCACAATCACACATGTGCATATATACAAGCATGTACACAGCATACATCCATTCTCACATATGCATATATATATATATATACAAGCGCATGTACGAATGCATGCACACGCACATTCACACATGTATACATGCATGCAAGTGGTCATAAATAGCCATACAAAAAAGAACATATATACATACATGCATACACGTACATAGGTACAAACAGACATACATGCATGCACACATATACACATATTTACGCACATACATACATGCGTACGTATATACTCTCATGCATACATACATGCAGACATACATACAAGCATACACACATGCATGCATGCATGCATGCATGCATGCATGCACCCACACTCTCATATGCATACATACCTGCATACATACATACACACACAAACGTACATACATACATACATACACCCTGACATAAATACATACATACATACATACATACATACATACATACACATATACATATACATTACCTGCATACACTTACAGACAGACGGACAGACAGACAGACAGACAGGCATACACACAAAGACAGTGTTATATGCATACGTTACATACAGACATACGTACATGCATACAACATATACGCAAACATGCACATATGCGTATTGACAGACAACCATATACACATGCATACATACACACATACGTACACACATTCATGCCTACTTACAATCATGCATGCATACATACATAATTACATCCATGCAGGCACATATATATATATATATATATACATACATACACAAATACACACAAGCATGCATTCATGCATGCATACATGCATACATACATACATGCGTACTCAATTCATGACATTGATATCTTTATGTGCGCAAATGTATAGACTATACTGTCCCGTACCGAGGCACTGAGCCGGAAGGACTGCAGAGCCCCATCCGTCTCCTACTTCCCTGGGGATCGGGTCCAGGCCTGCTCAGCAAGGAGTGGCCCTGGGCCAGTCTGCCCGGTGGTGGCACACGGTGCGTCTCAGAATCCAGCGCGCCTGATCGGCTTCGAGGCCGATGTGGTCAAGCTCTCGCTTCGCAGTGGCTTCTGTAGTGGTCAAGCTCTCGCTTCGCAGTGGCTTCTGTAGGTTCCCAAAGAGTTCCAGTCCAGTCCAGTCCTGAGCAGCGGGTTCTTCGCATCGGAGTCGGTCCAGTTGAGACAACGGCGCTTCTCCCGCCCAGTCCGAGTCCACTCAAAATTGGTCCTCAGATCCCTTCCGGGGTCCACCCTGATCTGTTTCGAGGCGGATCCAGCCGCCTCCACGGAAAGCTCGGGGAGACCCCAGAAATGACGGCAAAAAAACGCCACGGAGGACCGCTGGTGTCTCGACTTGCCCTTCTCCTCCGATCACCACCTTCATGCCCACCGGGGCACTCAAGGACATACTGGTACGACGTGCCTCTGTTGGAGACGCACGTCCTTTTTTTTCCGGTGCAAAGCTATCGTGTCGATTAGACTCTCTGCGTGTGCGTGCGAAACAAGGATACCGCCACACACTCCTCACAGCCACACAGACCCTAATAATCCAAACAACATCAACGTTTCTGCTACAACCTGTGGCACAAAATCTGGCAATAGATCCTTTCCCGAAGGGTGTGGCCAGGAAGCGCCCGCCGCGGAGCTCATGCTGTGAGGTTTCCGAGCGTGCGCGACGCCCCCCCGCGGCCGACGCACACATGGCATACTACAGGGCAGGTTTTAATACATAGGATGTTTAAAAAACATGTGATGTTTAATGCATGATCAGTTTATGAATAAATGTATGCATAAACTCATCGTTGATTATAATACCACATCCCTGTATTCTTAATACATGATCCGCACGCGGAGCATGTACTAAAAACGGCACTGCATACTAGAACCATCTCGTGCGCTTCGCGCGCGCTAAGGTTCTCGGGAATCCCAGCTCGCAGTGAGCCGTCGAGGGCTGGGCGACGGTTTGGGAGAGGACGTCAGTCCGAAAACCCTACGGCAACACGTAGTTCACAGCCCTTCCCTGAGCACGGAAGGTCTCCAGGAGGACGACGAAGAGGCCGAGGAGTTTGCTTGAGGTCGAAAGGGAAAAGTAATCCAGGAGCATGACGGCGACAAAGACGAGGGCCGAACGGTAAGGAGGGACAGGAGTAGGAGAAGCGGAGCCTGTTTGTTTTTCTTTGTCTTTTTTTCTTTTTCTTATAAAAAGGGAGAGAGAGAGAGAGAGAGAGAGAGAGGAGGGGCCACGGTGCCCCTCGTCCACGTATGCACCTCCTGGTGGCCGTCGGCCCATCCTTCCGCCATGCCTGGGGTGTTGGTCAGAGACCTCTTGGATGCCTGTTGGGGTCTTTCGGGAAGCTGTTTGGGAGCCTCTTGGGCCTCTCTTGGGTCTCTAGGGAGCATTTGGGGTCCCCTTGGGGGGGGTATTGGCGCCCTGCGGGCGGTCTCCAGGGTCCTCTCGGGCTCGAGACCTCGAAATGTGAGGACACAGAGGAGGGACTACCTTGGGACCTCTGTGGGAATCCTTGGGGGCCTGCTGGCGGTCTTCGGTGTCCTTCTGGGGCGTAGGCCTCGACATCTTCTTTTCTTTCTTTGCAGACGGTTACGCCCTGGCGTCCCCTATACTTCCCCAGCAGCAGGCAGTTGCAGCGCCAATGAAGATTAGCCTGGCGAAGAACCCAACCATATGCAGTTGTCAGTACCGCAGCTGCGGGTTTCATCTTCAATGGAACTCCCCATAGGACTACGGAACGTGTGAGGGGTGTGCCGAGATGGGTGCCACTGGGGCATTCGGCGAAGCTCCCTATGGGGACATGAAACACGCGCGGGGCGTGCCGACATGGGTGGCGGAAACGCATGTGCAGGCCGCCACTGGGGCCTCCAGTGGAGCTCCCTATGGGTCCCCGAAACATGATGCTGCTGCGGGGGGGGGGCCGGGATGGGTGGCGGAGACGCATGTAAGCGCCGCTACTGGGGCCTTCGGTGGAGCTCCCTATGGGGCCACGAAGCGCGTGAGGGGTGTACTGGGATGTGTGGCGGGGACGCATGTGAGCGCCGCCACTGGGGCCTTCGGTGCAGCTCTCTATGGGGCCACGAAACGTGTGAGGGGTGTGCCGAATTGGGTGCGGGTGGTGACGCATGCAGGCGGTGCCACTGGGGCCTTCGGTGGAGCTCCCTATGGGGCCACGAAACCTGTTGTTGTGAGGGGCGTGCTGGGATGGGTGGCGGGTACGCATGTGAGCGCGGCCGCTGGAGCCTTCGGTGGAGCTCCCTATGGGGCCACGAAACGTGTGAGGGGTGTGCCGAATTGGGTGGGTGTGGGTGACGCATGTGAGCGCCGCCACTGGGGCCTCCGGTGGATGGGGCCACGAAACCTGTCAGGGATGTGCCCAAATGGGTGTGCGGGACGCATGCGCATGTGAGCGCCGCCACTGGGGCCTTCGGTGGAGCTCCCTATGGGGCCACGAAACGTGTGAGGGGTGTGCCGAATGGGTGTGCGGGACGCATGCGGGCGGCAGCACTGGGGCCTTCGGTGGAGCTTCCTATGGGGCCACGAAACGTGTGAGGGGTGTGCCGAATTGGGTGTGCGGGACGCATGCGGGCGGCAGCACTGGGGCCTTCGGTGGGGCTCCCTATGGGGCCACGAAACGTGTGAGGGGTGTGCCGAATTGGGTGTGCGGGACGCATGCGGGCGGCAGCACTGGGGCCTTCGGCGGGGCTCCCTATGGGGCCACGAAACGTGTGAGGGGTGTGCCGAATTGGGCGTGCGGGGCGCATGCGGGCGGCAGCACTGGGGCCTTCGGTGGGGCTCCCTATGGGGCCACGAAACGTGTGAGGGGTGTGCCGAATTGGGTGTGCGGGACGCATGCGGGCGGCAGCACTGGGGCCTTCGGTGGGGCTCCCTATGGGGCCACGAAACGTGTGAGGGGTGTGCCGAATTGGGTGTGCGGGACGCATGCGGGCGGCAGCACTGGGGCCTTCGGTGGGGCTCCCTATGGGGCCACGAAACGTGTGAGGGGTGTGCCGAAACGCATTGGGGGGTGGGCTCCCTATGGGGCCACGAAACGTGTGAGGGGTGTGCCGAATTGGGTGTGCGGACGCATGCGGCGGCAGCACTGGGGCCTTCGGTGGGCTCCCTATGGGGCCACGAAACGTGTGAGGGGTGTGCCGAATTGGGTGTGCGGGACGCATGCGGGCGGCAGCACTGGGGCCTTCGGTGGGGCTCCCTATGGGGCCACGAAACGTGTGAGGGGTGTGCCGAATTGGGTGTGCGGGACGCATGCGGGCGGCAGCACTGGGGCCTTCGGTGGGGCTCCCTATGGGGCCACGAAACGTGTGAGGGGTGTGCCGAATTGGGTGTGCGGGACGCATGCGGGCGGCAGCACTGGGGCCTTCGGTGGGGCTCCCTATGGGGCCACGAAACGTGTGAGGGGTGTGCCGAATTGGGTGTGCGGGACGCATGCGGGCGGCAGCACTGGGGCCTTCGGTGGGGCTCCCATGGGGCCACGAAACGTGTGAGGGGTGTGCCGAATTGGGTGTGCGGGACGCATGCGGGCGGCAGCACTGGGGCCTTCGGTGGGGCTCCCTATGGGGCCACGAAACGTGTGAGGGGTGTGCCGAATTGGGTGTGCGGGACGCATGCGGGCGGCAGCACTGGGGCCTTCGGTGGGGCTCCCTATGGGGCCACGAAACGTGTGAGGGGTGTGCCGAATTGGGTGTGCGGGACGCATGCGGGCGGCAGCACTGGAGCCTTCGGCGGAGCTCCCTATGGGGCTACGAAACGCTGTACTGGGCGGGTGAAACGCAAGGAAGAGGGGGAGGAGGGAGGAGGAGGGGGAGGAGGAGGAGGAGAGGAGGAGACGCGGGGCACCGTCTCTTCAAAACGAGGACCCAACACCACAGGATGGTTGGGAAAAAATGCTAAATGTGAAAGAATGCTACAATGGATGTGTGAAACATTGCACGAGGCCTCGCAAGTATTTCATCATCTCCGTGAGCCCCGTCTCAAGCGCGATAGCTTCGGCCTGAAATTTGGATGCCAAAGGCCCCAGATGATGCGAAGCGTACGCAAGCCGACGGAAATGGGGCTGGCCATCGTCTTGGGCTTCGACTGCAAATATCACCCACCCTATCGCCCCCTGGCCGGCACGCATTCCCATATGGGGCCCTCTTGGGGCCATCTTGGGACCTCCGTCTTGGGCGGTCCTGGGTGCCTCTTGGGCCGTATGGGGGCCCTCTTGGGCCGTCTTGGGGCCCTCTGGGGGACCTCTTTGGCAGTTTTAAGGCTCTCCTGAGGGCCTCTGGGGCCGTCTTGGACGCCGGAAAAATCAAAAAAGAGAATGTGCTGGAAAAAAAGGCTTCCCAAGATAAATGGGACGATTTCCGCCTCTTCGGGCCCTCTTGAGGGTCCTCTTGAGCTGTCTTGGGGCGTCTTGGCGGCCTCTTGGGTCGACGCCACCTGGGGCCGTTCGGAAGCCCCTCTGGGACCCGTTGGGGACCTACCCGGAAGCTTAGGGGGGGAAGCTCCGGGGAATCTCTGGGGAGGCCCCGGGGAGGCCCGGGGGGGGAGGGGGCACTTAATGTATATCTATGGCCCCTGGTGGTCTTCTGCCCAGGAGCCCCCGGGGCGGGCAGTCTGGCATATGAGAGAAGCATGTTCGGGTGGTGCCGACCCAGCGCCCCTTGCCCAAACCCACGGCTCCTCAAAGTCGCTGTACACCTCCCTGATGCCGTACACTGCGCGCGCCGACAGCAGATGCATCACCTGGTGCGCCAGCCGAGGGTGCATCACCTCCTCGTCCTGCTTGTTATCGTACGTATCCGAATCCTCCTCGTTGAAAAAAACAAAAAAGAAACAAAACAACAAAAACGTCACCACCACCACCATCACCACCATCACCCTCACTATCATCCTGTTCCTCCTCCTGCTGATCCTCATACTAATCCTCCTCCTCCTCCTCCAGATCATCATCATCATCATCAGCATCATCATCATCATCATCATCATCATCATCAGCAGCATCATCATCATCATCGTCATCATCATCATCGTTATCATCATCATCATCGACATAAGAATCATCATCAGCAACAGCATCAGCAACAGCATCATGGTCATCAGTATCATCATCAGCATAATCCGAATCATCATCATCATAATCATCATCATCATCATCATCATCATCATCAGCAGCAGCAGCATCATAGCAGCATCAGCATCATCAGCATCGTCATCAACAGCAGCAGCACCATCATCAGCAGCATCAGCATCAGTATCAGCATCAGCATCAGCACCAGCATCATCATCATCGTTATCATCAGCATCATCATCCTCGTCGTCGTCATTACCACCCTGATCATCACCACGACCAGCATCACCACCATCGTCATCGCAACAATCACCACCCCAAATCATCCACCACGATTGCCTGTAATCATCTTCCTCGTGCGTCCTCCATGTGAGTGGCATTCCCCAAGGCCGCCCACGGCGACAGCACAGCCGCAAACCGACCGAGCCGACAGCGAGGCCGAAGCCGAAGCACGAAGCCGAGGCCGGCAGGCCGCAGGCTGGCCAGAAGGGCCCATGACGCAGCAACGCCGACCGAGTGGAACCAACCGACCGAGCACCGACTGCGACGCAACCCAACCGACCGAATCGTGGACACCCTTGTTTCCGCACCCCACCCCCCTCCTCAACTTCTCCGCCCCTCCAGCGTGCCGTGTGCCCGCCAGCGCTCGTCGTCCTGATGGTGTTCTGTGGGCGGCCCGCCCCCCGGTGTTGGAGCCTCAGGGCACAGAGGGGGCGAGGGATACGGGGGAGGGGGCTAGGAGGGGGAGCAAGGGGAGGGGCTGGAGCAGGAGAATCAGCAAAACGACTACAAGGAGGATGACCAGAGTAAACCCAAGATGTACCAACGACGCTCGAATAAACCTGGACGATTTCCCCCGGGGCCGTAGGCGACCCCGAGGAGGAGGAGGAGGAGGAGGAGGAGGAGGAGGAGGAGGAAGGGGAGGAAGAGGAAGGGGAGGAGGAGGGAGGAGGACGGGTCACCTAAACCCTTCGGACAAACCCTCCGAATAGACCCTCCCGTCCAAGGACACCTCCTCACAAGTCCGGACAAGGATCCAGTGTAACTGCGCCAAGGCGCCCCCTGGAAAGACACGCACCCTGGACCCGCAATTCAGGCAAAAGAATTGCCCTCCATCCCTCGACTGCACGGTTTCCCCCGGGGCCGTAGGCGACCCGAGGAGGAGGAGGAGGAAGAGGAGGAGGAGGAGGAGGAGGAGGAGGAGGAGGAGGATGAGGAGCTGGAGGAGGAGGAGGGGGGGAAGGAGATGGAGGAGGAGGCGGAGGAGGAGGAGGAGGGAGCATGATGATGAGGAGGAGGACGGGTCGCCTAAGCCCTTCGGAGAAACCCTCCATCCCTCGATGCATAGAGAATGCAACAACATGAATGAAGGCGTCTAGCGAGAGCCCCGCTTTGAGAAGAAAATGCCTTCCATCCGTACAACATTTCCAGCAATAAACTGAACGGAGCCTCTGGTCAGAGACCTGAACAGAAAACAGCCTCCGTCCGTGCAACCGTTCCACGGGCTTCGATGTCGAATAGTATACGCGACGATGTATCAAACAAGAACTCATCCCGAGAAGGGACCAGGCTCCATCCGTGTGACTGCTGGCATAGCTTAACACGACTGTGCGCGGAGCTGAGAGGCAACAACCCGATTCTGGAAACGATTCGCCCTCCATCCGAATAACCGCTGTGCTGTTTGGGACAAGCGCACGGCGCCGGGGCGAGAGCCCCGTTGTTGATCGAGGCCCGCCCTCCGCCCTGGCAGCCGCTGGCAAGGCCTCGAGCCTTAACACCGCAAGCGGCGAGGAGGCACCAGGCGAAACGCCCGGCGCAGCAGCGCCCCGCCCACGGTGGGCCCCGCCCCTCCTCCGCCTCCGCCTCCGCCTCCGCCTCCGCCTCCTCCTCCTCCTCCTCCTCCTCCTCCTCCTCTTCCTCCTCCTCTTCCTCCTCTTCCCCTTCCTCCTTCTCCTCCTCCTCCTCCTCCTCCTCCTCCTCCTCCTCCTCCTGCCCCTGGCGCCCGCCCCCTGCCCCGCCCCCGGGAGGGCCTGCACCAGCAGGCCCACCTGCAGCGCCACCGTGCTCAGCAGCAGTCCGCCGGCGTGCCCTCGGCACGCGGGGGCGTCGAAGAAACTCCGGCTCGCGATCTGGCAGGGCTTCTCTGTTTCACTTCGCGCGTGCCGCTGTGAGCGCGCGCCCCCGCCTCCCCCACCCACCCACCCACCTACCCCCCCCCCAACACACACACACACACACACAACACACACGTACACACACACACACACACACACACACACGTACACACTACACACACAACACACACACACACACGCGCGCGCGCACGCACACGCACGCACGCACGCACGCACGCACACACACACACACACACACACACACACACACACACACGGTCGTCAGCGGGCAGGCGATTCGCCATGCCTTTAGAAGTCACACGGGAGCGCGCGCGCGCCGGCAAAGCAGAAAAGTGGCCAGGCCCTCACGGGGCGAAGGCGTGTCAGCAGCCCAGCACACAAACACCCGCACACACACACACACACACACACACACACACACACACACACACACGCGCGCGAATACACACACACACACACACACACACACACACACGCGCACACACTCTCTCACACATACAATGGAAAATGTGGGGGAGACTAGCATGAAAAATGAAAACAACATGTACGCCATATAAACAGCTTAAGAAAATAATCAAAACACAAACAGCACAACAAACGAAACTAACAATCGGCAACGAAAAACACGGGGTGGACCAAAAACAACAAAACAAACAAAAGGAAAACAAGCCAGAAGAACCACACAAACGCCCCAATGAAACTCCAATAAGGTGTAGAGACCTGAAAAGACAGCGGCTAGACCGCTCTGACAAACTCCAAGTGCCCTCCAAAGACACCTAGATGCTGCCAAGACGCCCCCACCAGCCCACACGAAGCCCCGAGGCACCTAAAGAGGCTTCTGGCGTGACCCTTAGAACAGAAATCAACGAAACAAAACTGCATGAACTTCTAAGTCGTTGGCCTACCAGGCGCTCCGGAGAGCCCCACAGGCTCTCAAGGCTGTCTCAAAAAGGCCCCAGGAACCCCCATAACGGCCCAAAATCGACCCAACTGAAACTCCCTCCTCCTCCTCCTCCTCCTCCTCCTCCTCCAAAGCGGCCCCAAGCCTCCTAAATGGGGCCGGAGCACATGGGGTCGGAGGTTCACGCCGCATCGCCAATGCATCGACGGTGCATCGGCGACGGCGGGACAGAAAAGAACGGGCTCAAGATCGCGCCGCATCGCCGATGCATCGGCGATGCGGCGCGATCCTCCGACCCTGTCTGCCCCAGACATTCTCCCCCAGACGACTCAAAACTGATTCGAGCGTGCCTCTTCGGGAGAACTCGTTGGAACAGTCGCCAACCAAGGCCAAGATGACAGCGACACCTCCAACAAACTCCTAGGGAGGCCCTCCGAAGCCCTCCCAAAAAAACCAAATCAAAACAAAAAACAGCCCTCAAAAAATGCAGGGCATCGCAGGGCGGTCTGAGTACCTGACGTGGTGCCAGAGCGGCGCCCCTGGAGTAAGACGGAAGCAATATGAGGACGCATTCGAGTGAGGATAAAGCGGGAATCTCCGAGTCAGCGGGTCTGTGGGGGACTTCTCGGGCGCCGCGGCCGGTTCAGAGCTCCCCAGAACGCTCTGTAGCGACCTATCCTCAACCGAGGCCTGCCTGACGGAGGGCAGACGAAACATTGAGCGCTCTCGGCGCGCGGAACACACTTTGTGCAGGCTCGCAGCGAGGCTCCCAACGCAGACGTGTGACACCCCGACGCTTCCTCCCGCGTCCGTCCCGACGCACACTCCCACGCTGAGAACCGCTGGTTCCACGAACTGCCCATGTCGAATAGAACGCGGGCGCCGAATCCAAGCTTCAGCGTCGATCGGATGTCTACCCCCTGCATGATGTTGCATCTGCGGCACTGTGCATCCACTGGTGCACAGGAACGATCTAAAGCAGGCCGCCCGCGACTACGTACTTCCTATGGCTGCTTCCAGGCACCGGTCTCGGGCCTCACTCGGCCTCCAGAGTGCAGCACTTACATGTACGCAATAGGGCTCAAAACATTCTCGAATAACGTCGCACGCTGCCGCAATGAAGAACAGGATGAGCTCAGCATGCATATGAAGAAACAAAACCCTGCAAATCCACTGGATGATAAAATCGTTCCCATGGAACCGGCCAACACCGAGTCGCCCCGCTGTATAATACCAACGCTTTCGCCAGACAGCTGAACAGACGAAATGCCTGGTATCGAAACTTCCTGGTGCTCCACTAATGAGTATGTGCATCGAAACTTCCTGTGTGTGTATCGAAACTTCCTGGTACACGTGTATCGAAACTTCCTGGTGCTTCACGAAGGAGCGGCCAACTCACACCTGGGTGCCTGCTGCTGCAAGCCTCGAGAACCCGCACGAGGCCTCGAAACAGACCAACACCTGATGGCAGCACAACAGCCATGCAACCTTGCACCCGCAACACGCTACAGCATCGTAGCGCCGTTCCCTAAAACAACCCCTGGATGGCTCTACCGAAGCTGTTCGGTTGGGCCTGGTATCGGAGGCGCGCAAACATGCATTAACGATTCATGGATTTGGCGCGCGGTCGCCAAATCCATGGATCGTGGGGGGTGCCCTCCCAAGAATGCGGCCGGTGCCGCCTCGCTCGGCGGCGACAATCTGCGATTTCCGATGGAAACGGGACCCGTCGCTAATCCACGCCCCCTTTAATCCATGTTTGCGATCGCCTGATGGTAGAAGCATCCCGCATGAATTTCGATGCTGCGCGGCGGGAAGTGCCGCAGGCAGATGCACACGGAAGCCACCACCAACCTTCGGGCGTCGACGCTCCCATTCCGCCTCCCCCCGCCGCATCCTCTTCCCTCGGCTACTCGCAAGAGTGACCCTAAGCAAGAGTGACCTTTGGTGCGCGGAGCAAACGGGGCGCAGTGGCCAAATCCAAGCGTACAGAAAGCCGATTTCGCACCGCGACCAGCGATCGGAGGGGTCCCAATGAGCCCGCACAAAGGGTCACTCTGGCGAAGGGTCACTATTGCGTGCAATCGATTCCCCCTCCCCCTCCCCATCCATTCTACTCATGATTCACTTTGTGGATGTCATGACACTGGATACTCTGTTCCAAAAATGTTTCAAACATGTTCCAACAATATTTCAAAAATGTGCGTAAAATGTGTAAAGCATGTTCCAAAATGTTTCAAACATGTTCTTCACATGTTAGAAACATGCTTGAAACATATGTTAGACATCTGGATACTACTTGGCAGCATACTTCCCCTCCATTAATCGACTTCCACAAGATTAACTCCCTGTCGCACCACCAGACGTGTCCGTGGGCCAGGCCAGGCGTTTCGGGCGAGCTTTCCTTGCAGCGCACCCCGACGCTTCAAATTTCCGGCCGATCCACGGATGGAGAGCCTGTCGTTCTTCAAGCACGGCCCTCGCCTTAGCGCCGCGCGCACTCGTCTTAAAAACTACCAACAACTTCTGTGACTGAAGGCCGGTCGACCTCAAGATGTGGCCCTCACCCTAGCGCCGCTCACACCGGTCTTGAAAGCATCCAAACGCTACACGGATGGAGGCCAGAGTGTTTTCAAGCTGCGGCGCTCGTCTGCAATTCCCTCTCAACATGAACCCTGGTGTACCATGCAAAACTGTCCCAACATGACAATGATAGAAGGTTCCTTTTCAATATGGAGCTCTCGCCTGAAACGTCTACAAAGTGCAAGCCCTATCGCAATGGCCCGCGAAGGGGAGGACCCGGGGTGACCCTCACTCGTCGAACTTCGCCTCAGCTGCCCAGGTCGACGAATTGAGAAGACAGCGCCTGCCAGACCGTGGAACGTCCAGCCAAGCTTCTCCAGTCACAAAGCGCCCTCTAAATGCAAAAAACGCCGCGTGATATCCTCGAAACGCATTCATCTGCGGAGGACGGTAGCATAGGACGTGCGCACCGAGCTCATTTGCAGCGCTGCTTGCCATGCTGCGTCGCGCCACCCTGTTATCTTCTCGACCCACTCACTCGGATCTTTGCTTGCGTCTTCATTATTTGGAAAGGTTTCGGGGCCCACCCCTTTCACGGCGCAAACAGCAAGACGCCGAATTTTGCGGGTCGCCCTTTGGGATCCAATCGATCGGCCCTCCCGCACCCCACGAGTCGGAAGCATCGTCTGATGTGTTACTCTTCGACTTCTTAATTTTTCTGCTCGTGGGGTCCATGATTCTGTAGAACATAAGTAAAATGCATTCGGCAACGGTGATGTCGAACAGGCGCAGGCGCTTCTTGACCGAAGAAAATCGATTCAATAACGAATTCTTCATTGCCAATTTCCGCCACCCCACGGCGATGCGATTGGCCATGCCCTCCCGAGTCGGGTCCACCGAGACAGCGTCATGCCTACCAGCTCCAAGTTCTCTCATGGTGGCAGCACCTCTACAGAAAACCGTCAGCAATTGGTATTCGCCCTCGCCGCGACAAGCTGCTGTTGGTTGCTTGCACCTTGCACTTCGTTTGCTTCAAGGGCAAGCCCCAGACGGGCAAGTCAGACTTCAGCATCAAAACCATTCTTAGACCCAATTTCTTCCAATGAACGTCTGGCCATCAGCGAAGGCGATGTGCGTCAAACGATTTCTCCGGAACTCGTGCCCCAGATTGGCGCCATAGCCGCACTTCCGCCTCGCCTCGCTCACTTCCGTCAGAGCCCCGTCGAATACCAGATTGAAAAAGGATTTGGGAGAGAGGGTCGCCCTGCTTTAACACCCCGGTTCATCTCGAAATGCCGGCTGCCCGCCCACGCCCACATAGATATATGTAGCTTTCACTTCAAAATACAAGCGTCTCAAAACAGACACGGTCGACGCATCGATTCGTTGCTGTATTCCCCATCGTCCAAAAGGCGGCTTCCTTCAAAACGGGGCTCCCACCTGAATTGTAGGGCCCATGGTGCGCTTGTCTTTCCAGAGGGGCGCATCGCGCAATGAAAAAGAGTTCTTGCACGGACAATGCGGAAGGAACAATGGGCGGGAGGGTGAACTGCAGCATCGTTAATTCATCTTGGGCCTGCTCTTGTCATCCTTCTTCTGGTTTTCCCGATTCTCCTCCTCCCCCTTCCCATTCCAGGTTCCATCTCCGCACCCCTCGCCCCCATCCGTGCTCCAAGGTTGTAACAAGGGCGGGCCACCTAGAGGAAGAAACATCAGGATGAGAAGCGCTGGCGGGTAAACAGGAGGCGGAAGGGGCGGAGAAGTTGCGGAGGTGGCGGGGAGAGGGGAAACCAGGGTGTCCATGGTCCTTTCCCTCCTCCTGGATGCAGCGCGAGGGCGCCCAGCTTGCCTCTCTGCTCCCATCCTCTATGTCCTCCCTCCGCCACCCTCCCTCGGCCCTCCTGCCCCCCCCCCCCCTCTTCCCCCCTCGTTCCCTGTCCTGGCTCCTCGTTCTCCTCCTTTTTGCGTTGGGCACGAACTGGCTTGCGCGAACCGTCGTGTCTTGATGGCAGCGATCCGGAGGGCGAAGAACTCTGGATTCTCCTCCTCCTCCTCCTCCTCCTCCTCCTCCTCCTCTTGCTCCTCCTCCTCCTCCATCCTCCGTCCCCCGTCCCTCCATCCAGCAGCCATCCTCTCTCCATCCTCCTCCCTTCCACGGCCATATATTCCCCCCTGCCAAGCCTCAGCGCTCGGTGGTACAGGAAGCGGGTGCCGCCCACCAGCCACCGCGACTCGCGGATGAGCAGCGCCACGCTGTGCCCGAAAGTGTCCTGAGCAGCCCGTGGCGCCAAGAGACCCAGGGCTAGCACCCGGAAACGAAACCTCAACAACAAATAGCCGACGCCCCTCCTTCTCCTCCTCCTCCTCCTCCTCCTCTGAATCCTCATCCTCCTCTTC